ACATACAATATTAAATCCAGAACAATATAATCAGACTTGGTTTTCAAACTACTAACTTCATTTTTTGCAGGGCTGTAAAGTATTTGTGCAAGTACATCAATAAACCAGCTGATCGCGCTATGGCAACATTAATCGAAAGTGAGGCAACTAATCATGTTGATGATGAGAGACATGCCTCAGGCACTATACCGTGTGTGGATGAGATTAAGGCTTTCTTGGATTGTCGTTATATAACATCCTGCGAAGCTTGCTGGAGGCTGTTCAAATTTGATCTCTATTCTCACTATCCACCAGTACTCCGTATGTCCTATCATCTTCCAGGTCAGAATGCTGTATATTCAACTGAAAACTCCAAAATGAAAGATTTGGTGGAATCGGAAAAGGCTGAATCTTCAATGTTGTTGGCATGGATGAGAATAAATGCTGAAACTAATGAGGCACACAAATATACTTATGCACAATTCCCCCAATACTTTGTTTGGAATAGGAACCAAAGGAAGTGGCAACAACGAAAATCACGATTCTGCATTGGACGTCTATATTACTGTCATCCTACTACTAAGCCTAAGGAGATATTTTACTTGCGCATGCTACTCCATGTAGTTAAAGGGGCTACAAGTTTTGAAGACATTAGAACTGTTAATGGTGTTATTCATGACTCCTTTCAGAACGCATGCTATGCTCTTGGATTATTAGCAGAAGATAATGAGTGGAATGATTGCTTGAAGGAAGCTGCTTTTTGGGCTACAGAGTATAATATGAGAAATCTGTTTGTTACCATTCTAATTCATTGCCAAGTATCAAGTGTCGCAGAATTCTGGGAGAAGAACTGGGAACTACTCAGTGATGATATATTGTGCACGACGTAAGGAACTAAAGCTACCAAATTTGATTCTTTCTGATGACGACAGAAAAGAGTTGTGCCTCCTAGAAATAGACAAGTTGCTTCATAGATATTGGAAAACATTAGCCGACTTTCCAGGGCTTCCTATACCAAATGCAGCTAATGTGACTCAACCCTTGAATAGAATGATTGCAGAGGAACTCAATTACAATACAGAAGAGTGTTATCATCGGTTTGAGGTAATGTACCCAAAACTCAATGACCAACAACGAATAGCATTTCATGAAATTATGGAATATGTTTATCAAGATAAAGGTCAATGTTTCTATCTTAATGGTTTTGGGGGTAGTGGAAAAACGTTCCTATGTCGTCTTATTTGCTTACGGTTGAGAGCAGAAAAGAAGATTATCATATGTGTCGCTTCTTCTGGGATAGCAGCTTTACTCATGGAGGGTGGAAGGACAGCTCACTCTAGGTTTCATATTCCGGTTGATTTGCACTCGGGATCTACTTGCAACATTGAACAAGGAAGTGACCTGGCACAACTAATTCAAAGAAGCTCCCTAATTATTTGGGATGAGGCTCCAATGGCCCACAAACATTGTTTTGAAGCACTAGACAAAACATTTCGAGATATCTTGCGCAGGAAATATCAAAATAGTGAGCACAAACCATTTGGTGGAATAACTATGGTGCTTGGCGGGGATTTTCGCCAGACATTGCCAGTAATACATAAAGGAACACGAACTGAAATCGTCAACTCATCCATTAAGAAATCATATCTATGGCCTGCTTTCAGGGAACTTCATCTTTCCCAAAACATGAGGTTGGCTAGGGAAGGGTGTTCTCTCGAGGAAGTAGAAGAAATTACAAGTTTCAACAATTGGATCTTACAGGTTGATGATGGCATCGAGTCCAATGTTTTTGGTGAGTCAACAGTCTCTATTCCTCAAGGACTATCTGTCAATCGAGAATTGGACCCTATTTCAGATGTGGTCAACGCAGTATATGAAGACCTCACTGCACTAAATGATGATCCTCTTTACTTGATTGGACGAGCTATATTAGCTCCTCACCATGATATGGTTTCTTCGATAAATTCATTTGTACTTGATAGATTTCCTGGGGAAGTGGTTTCATACTTCAGTTCTGATTCTGTTGAGATGGACCCAGGCATTGAAGGTACCATAGATTCTGATTATTCTACCGAGTTCTTAAACTCACTGAAGATAGGAAACTTTCCTGATCATGAATTGAAGCTGAAAGTAGGTACCCCTGTTATTTTGCTAAGGAACTTGGACCAAAGCATAGGCCTATGCAATGGTACAGGAATGATAACCAAGAATCTGGGAACTTGGTTCATTGAAGTTGAAATATTGACAGGAACATATATTGGTGAGCGGGTCTTTCTCCCTCGAATCTCATTGTCAACATATTGCAAGAACATCAACTTGACCCTGGCGAGAAGACAATTTCCAATTGCAGTATGTTTTGCCATGACAATAAATAAAAGTCAAGGCCAAACTTTGCAACAAGTAGGTTTGTGCCTGCAGAAACAAGTGTTTTGTCATGGACAGTTATATGTGGCACTATCAAGAGTTACATCGAAACAGGGAATCAAAGTTGTTAGTTGTGACAGTGATGGCGCAGAATTGAAAACAATGCAAAACATAGTTTATCGTGAGATATTTGCCTAACTGGTACAATTCTTCTTTGCACACATATTCTCTCAAACAGGGGACGGTGGAGCTTGGTGAGGAAACATACATAGAGGTACCATCTGTCTAAAACACTTTTACGCCCTCTCATTACTTTAGGTTGCAAATATATTCATTTGCTTTTTTTTTTCCTTCTATAGGTATCATTATGCATACATCCCGCTGAAGTTCGGTGGATACAGTATCAGAGCGTTGCTAGGATAGTGGAACCAAACGTTAGTGCACTGTTATTGGACTTGGCATCGTATTGTTTCTACATAATCTGATCTAATACCTATCATCCAATGTTGACATTGAATTTTTTTTTCAATGGGAATGTTGAAATTGGACTTGGCATCGTATTGTTTCTACATAATCTGATCTAATCAATAAATCCTTTGTAGCCTTTATGGACAACCCTTCCACAACAAGCAATGACTAAGGAAAAATCGTATCTTCGTTTCTTATGAGACTAATGATAAAGTCTATTTGCCTAACAACATTACTACATATTTTGCTAAGGAACAACGAAACTTAGATGAATCGCAGGACCCTCATTAATTCATTTGTCATTTGTTTTAAATTTTAAATAAAATAAATTCACAATAAGGATTAAGGTTGACCGCTGTTAGCCGTTAGTATTTAACTGAAAATCTAATAGGCGTTGACGTCCCATCTAACATGGAATTTTAATTTTTTTAATTAAATAATGAAAATAATAATACATAACTATCCCACATCTACAACTCATTTCCCGGATCGAGCAACCCGCGACTAATATTCCCCCAGACTAAAAACGTGTAAAATGTGTATAACATGTTTAATATCCGTATCTAATTAATTTAGTTTATAACTTTTATTCATATATATTCATTTATTTAAAAACAATTAAATTTGTATATTTTTTAGTATTGATGTATTTTTAAACGTAAAAATAGTTTAGAGACGGAGCAAAATACCAGTACGTATTTTATACATAAGCTACCCATACAGTAATTACTATAGATTCACATCCAAACCCTCCCATTCGAACGCGCCATTAACTCACCATAACAGATCCTCTCATCGCCAAGTGTTGCACTACAGATTGAACCGATCAAGGAGGCAGAAGGGGTAGGCTCCGATGTAGGAGAGGTCGCCAAAATCGTGGATGACGTTGTGCATTCAAAGTTAGAGATCGTGGGTTTTGCTTCAGAACCCCAACTCCATAATCCATGGATAGATTGAGAGAAGAGTGCCAGAGCCATATCCCATTACTACTCTTCCATTCAGAGAAGGATACCGGAGGATGATTACCTCCGCGCAGCCACTATTCGATTCACCACGCGCTCCCTCGCTATTGCATTAGGAGAAAAGGATGAGATGAAGTGGTATTTTTCCTCCATTTAGATTATAATTTAAATGAAATGGTATTGATGTCTAATGAAATGGTATTTTTTCCCATTTAGATTATAATATAATTTAATCAGTGAAAATTAATGACGGGGCGCCCACATGGATACCATTTCCAAAAACCTTCCCAGACGGCCATCCCACTCACTCCACTTCCTCGAACTGTCATCATCGTTCCCTTTCCCCATCTCGAGCCCAAGTACGTGCAACGTCCGAATGAGTCTATATATCAATATTACCATATAGTTTTTATATATAATTTTTAAGCTCGAACCTGTCAACATTTAGTTCTCCCTACTTAAAGAGATTATACCTCAAAATAATGGCTTAATTGCAAGTTTGGTCACTCGAATTGCTTCAAAATTTCACATTTGCCACTCAAATTAATTAATTCCATTTATAGTCACTTAAATTAGGTTAACAGTTCAAGTTTGGTCACTGGCCGTTAGTCTCCGTTAACTTTTGCTGATGTGGCAGTCAACTCTTATAGTTGACCGTTAAATGCATGACGTGGCAATTAAAAAATTATAAAAATAATATTTTTTTAATAATTTCCACCTCATTATTACAATAAATTAAAAAATAATTAAAAATTTCCATCACTTTCTCGGAAAAGTAAACGATGCCCTCAACGTGGAGAGAAAGCAGAGAGTGAGAGTCGAAAAAAAAAAAAAATCAAACCGCCTGCTTCAAAGCTCTAGTCTTTTCTACCACTCCTTTTTGCCGCTTCTTCTGATACCGCAAGAAGAAAAACTAATGCAACCATTCAATGGGCAAATGGGTAGAAATTGAGAATTGAAGTGATACCCACCTTTGATTCCGCAATGGACCTTTCTGGGTTTCTTCAAAAATCTCTCGACGAACCCTTTATGAATTGGGAAGAGAGTACCAAGCTGGTGTCTTTTCCGCAGGAGGAACGGACTGTGTCAGTAACCGCCCCCCTGTCCTTGTCGTGTTGCTGCAGCAGCTGCTGCTTCTGCTTAATTTCTTGGAAGGAAGAGGAAGAAGATGGGATGGGGTTTAACGTTAGGAAATAGGGAAGGATTTTGTTTGTCGAAGAAACAAAAATGAATTCTAAGGCGACGATTGGGGAAAGATGTAGCAGTCCAGGGAAACGTGGATCCAGGTGTTCTTTTTGGTTCGAAAGTGTTCATCTCCAACCGGATCAACGATGTAGTGAGGAAGGCTGGCAAGGGGAGTCGGACGAAGATGGTCGGCCAGCAGAACCGGAGATTGTAGCAGCCGAATATCTGGCCTTGCCGGCGTCCCTAGAAGCACCACCCGCTCTCCCAACTGCGGATGATCAGCGCGCCGTTGATGGTCGATTTCTCCGGAACCCCGTCGGAGATCTGGAGGCGATGAGGAATCGATACTTCAGGGTGGGAGGGTTTCGAGGCGGAGGCAGAGCCGTCGGGGTCTATCCCGCACCAGTTCTTGCAACGTGGTGGAAAATATTTTTTAATTATTGTGACATTTTTTAATTATTTTTTAATTTATTGTAATAATGAGGTGGAAATTATTAAAAAATAATTTTTTAATTGCCACGTCATGCATTTAACGGTCAACTATAAGAGTTGACCGCCACATCAGCAAAAGTTAACGGAAGACTAACGGCCAGTGACCAAACTTGGATTGTTAACCTAATTTAAGTGACTATAAATGGAATTAATTAATTTGAGTGGCAAACGTGAAATTTTGTAGCAATTCGAGTGACCAAACTTGCAATTAAGCCCAAAATAAGGGCATTGCTATTCGTCGCCCTAAAATTTCTTATTTGTCGCCCTAATTAAAATACATTTACTTTAATGACCTTAGTTGATTTATTTCTTAGTTCATCTAATTAATACAAACCCAACCCGTTGGAGACTCAATCCTTACCTACTACCCAATAACCAACCCATCCCCTTCCTCTGTTCTCTCTGTCTCCCAGGAAAAAAAAAACAAAAAAAAAACCCCAAGGTACCGAGCTTCTTTTCAATCAATAATGGAGAACTGAAGATGGCATTCAAAATGATAACCTAACCATTAGCAAAAGGTCGTATGGCTCCCGTTCATGACTCTTGAATTGATTGAACTATATATATATATATATATATATATATATATAGATATAATTAATGGCTTCTGTTAGCAACCAATGCTATCTGGAGAAGACGACTTAGCATTAATGGGTGGATAAGGAGTAGGGACAAAGACGGGGACGTTCGGGAAGAGATGGGCAGGGAACAACCGAGGTGAATGGTGATTGGTGATGGACAAGAATTGGGTGAAGACGAGGGAGAGGGACTCGAAGCTTCGAATTCGATCGAGGGAATTCCTAATCGATTCCCAACATTTTGTCAGTAATTCAACCAACTTGTTAGTTTCAGCCATCGGATTGCAGAATCGTGGAAGATAGAATTGGGAAATCGGGATCAGGGTGTCTTTCTCTTGAGAAGATGGAAAGAATGATCGACGAAATTTCTGGATCATTGGAGCTTCGGCGAAGTGGATGACGGGTTGGTGGATCGTGGATACAGGCAGGTGGGGGCGCCGACGCCGTAATGGGTGGATATCTAGAAATCCGTTTCAAATGGGATCCGAGAGTGGTGAAGATTGGATTTATTCAAATCAATTCGGATAATTAGATCTCAACGGGAGAGGCGTCGGAATAGCCGAACAGGGGAGGCCGGCTTGCAGAGACAACGGAGCAGACATCGTCTTCTTCTTTATCGATTTGAGCGGCGGCGGCGGATTTAGATTGGGAGTGAGGAAGGGTCAGGAACTAGGAATTGTTTGGTTAGGTTTAAAATGGAAATTGGGTTAAGGGGTAAATATGTCAATTTGTTGTATTTTAGGGCGATAAAATTTGAATTTTAGGGCGACGAATAGCAATTCAGCAAAATAATCCATCTACAAATTGGGACATTCAAACAACATGGGCCTCCTTACTTTATGACATGGCCGCCACTAATGAATATTATATGCTTCATTTAAACTTAAAATTAGAATAAATAATGGGCCAAGAATCCAACCGACGAAAACCCAATCACAACTCCACCCTAAATCCAAAAGAACAATTACCTCACCGCCACAGATAGCATGAAAGGAATTTAACACCGCCACAAACTCTACCGAAAAAAAAAAGCACAAATACAAAGGCCAAAACTATATTGACGACTCGATCACTCATAGGGTCCGGATAGTATAACAACACCTTAAGTGTTGTTATACTAACAACAGGATTCATTAAGGGTATAAGGATAAATATACTCATATATTTAATAAAATAAAAATTAAATTAATATTTCCCATTAACTCGCTCATTTTGATCGAATAGGACGAGTGGGTGATCTCCCGAGTGTTTCAGAAGTTCGGCGTGGGTGCTGGCGGGAACGGCTGCACGGCGAGTAACAACACCGCCGCCACCTCCTCCGCCAAGAAGCCGCGCTCCACCGCGGCGATGAGCAGCGGCAGCAGCGCTTACTAGGAGGTGAGCTCGCCGCCCTCCGCCGTCTCGCACCTCCCTGCTCTCCTCTACCCCACCACCGCCGACAGCTACTCCTACGACGGTGGCGGCGCCGGGCGCCACAACCAGCAGCAGCACGTGTCCTGTTATTCTCCCCTCCTCTATCCCCTCTCCAAACAACCAACTCTCTCTCTCTACCGGCCATCGGGAAATCTCAACCGCCGGCCAAAGCCTCCATTCTATTCCCTCGCTTTTGTGATAATATCACCGAAATGGCTATTACAGGAAGAGATATAGATCGAATCAAAGGTCCATGGAGCCCCGAGGAAGACGACAAGCTCCAGCGCCTCGTCGAGAAGCACGGCCCGCGGAACTGGTCGCTGATCAGCAAGTCGTCCCGAGCTCAATTAGAACGATCATCATCATCATCATCACGAGCTGAATTCTTCTTCTGTTCTCAAATAGTATCATCCATGAAACCCTTCTTCCACACCATTATTTTCCTGCTGCCCTACAGGAACGGACAGCTACAGAAGATCCAGATAGATCAATTAGCTTTTGCCTATACTAGGTTTTTTTCTCCTTTCTTGGTGAACAGTCTTCCTCATACTATAATTAGGTCATGAAACAAGACACTACATTTACACAAGTATATATAGTACTACTACTGAATCACGCATTCATACATCTACACAAAAATAGTACAAGAAAGCAGACGTATTCACATCGGGTAAATGATGTATCAAAAGCATCCTAATGTAGAACATAAGTCTCGTGAAGCAAAACATAAACACTACAAAGTGAGCCATAAATATTTTTAAATCACACCAAAAACCTTATTGTACAAACCATAACTCTCCTAAAACAAACCAAAAACACCACAAAACACACTAGAAACTTCATAAAACAAACTACAAACACTGTAAAACAAACCATAAAAAACATACCAAAAACCTCCCAACGCATGCCACAAATTCCCTAAAACAAACCAGAAACATCACAAACCAAACCACAAATATTTTGAAAGCACACCAGAAAACTCATAACGCAAACCATAAACATCGTAAAGCAATCCACAAAAACAAACCAGAAACGTCCTTATGCAGACCAAAAATATATTAAAACAAACCAGAAACCTCACGAAACAAACCACAAAATTTTCAAAAACACACTAGAAACCTCATAATACAAACCACAAACACGTTAAAGCAAAACCCAAAAACAAACCAGAAACCTCCTAATGCATACCACAAATCTCCTAAAACAAACCAAAAACCCCACAATGCAAAACACAAATTTTTTGAAAGCAAACCAGAAACTTCTCAATGCAAACCATAAACACGATAAAGCAAACTAGAAACTTCTCAATGCAAACCACAAACACAATAAAGCAAACCACAAAAGACATACAAAAATGTGTGAAACCAAACCATAAATCTCACAATGTAGACCATATATCCGGTGGTCGTTGACCGTTGACCGGTCAACGAAGACCGTTGACCAAACTCCGATGATCGTCAGTGATCGGATTCGGGCGCCGATAAGCATATTCTGGCCCCGGTGACTAGATTCCGATGCCGGTAAGTATATTCCGACGCTGGTAAGCATATTCCGGCGACGGTGAGCATATTCCGATGACAAAATAGCATATTGCGACGACAAAAAAGCATATTCCGGTGACCGGCGACCAGATTCCGGCGACCAAATTCCGGCGACCAAATTTTTGGGCAGAAAATAAAAAAATATTTTTCTATTTTTTTTATTTAAATAGATTTTTCATAATGACAATTATACCCCTGTTTTGATTTTACACTAGGTCAACTCATCTAATAAAAAGTCATCACAATCCTAGCTTCCTATTGGTTGGGGGACTAGTGTTGTTACAATAACAATATAAAAAGTGTTGTTACACTATCTAGTCCCTCACTCATAATCAATTATACCATCATCAATTAAGAACTCGGCAAAGCGACCCGAGAAGTCCCAAAATCACGGCCGTTCCAGACCATAATTACATACCCAAGTTACAAGCCATAGGTCTCCCACATTCAAGATAAGAGGCGGTTTCCCAACAACGTAAGCTTAGGGAATACCATCAGATCGCAAGATACCCTTCCCACAATGACTTCCACATCATCCATGTATAAAAGAAAAACCAACTGCGAGGAAACACACCATTTCAACAACAAGAAAAAACCACAAAAAGTTGCAGTTAGCAGTACCTAAATCTTCAAGAATGGCGCTGGAGGCACAACCATTGGAGTTCAACTCCATCAGAGATTTAACGGTGCAGAAAAGAGTTTGGAATATCCAATGTCGGATTTCCATAATGTGGCTGGCAATCAACTCAAACACTGACGAAATTCTGCATTTGGACTTGGTCATACTTGATGCACAAGTAAGCTCTCTACAAATAACATATTTTCAGATTTTTATAAAAATCGCCACGCTGTAGCATCCATCGTTTGAAAAATTCAGGGGGATACAATATGGGTGCAAATTCCTGCTGACCTGGTAAAGACATTCCAACTGAAGTTGCGAGAGCAAGAGGTCTACATATTTAAAGAATTCAACGTCATCATGGCACCACAAACACTGCAGTATAGACCAGTCCTTAATCGCCTGTTGATCCACTTTGATCATTCAACAACTGTTCAACAAGTCATGGAAAACATCCCTCCCATTCCAGCATACAATTTCAACTTCATCAAAGAAGAAGAGATAAAAAACCGTTGTGATCAAAGGCGCTATTTATCAGGTAGTAAACATCTCATTGTCTACCAAGGAACCCACCATCATCTCATAATGGAGAATACTGCTTTCATCTTTCTGCAAAAATTACAGATGTCATCGGCCAACTCATGGTCATGGAGTATACGGGCTCAAAAAACAAAACAACAGACACAAGGAAAACAACAATGAAGGAGATAAAGATCAAAATGATTGCGTACTCTCTTACATCCCTTTTTGTATCTTAACATATGTCTCATTCGTTAGCTACAATCATTGCTGTTCTATTTTCACATTTCACTATAGAGGGAAAATTGTCAAGGTGACCCTCCGGGGAAGAATAATACAACAACTAGATGACATAGTAACAGCTGCTGCAAACGCACCAATCATCTTGGTAATTACATCTGTCTATGTTCGGCAATACATATCCCACAATGGCAAGGAATTCAGTTTCTCATCCTCATCAGCCACGAATATGCCAACATGGACATCCCAGAAGTCCAAGGCTTCCATCTGAGGTAAGCTTTCAATCATGACAGATTGGCACGAAACCGATAGTCACTCACACTGAAAACAACAGTCACAAACCAATTATATATTTTTTTTCACCATTTCAGAAACCCGGAGATCAACTACCCTGTACTCGCCGAGGAGGAAGCACCACCCAAATTCCCAAAGGTCACCATACAACAATTGTTGGAACTCGGACAAAAGATCGAAAACCAAGTACGTTACCCACTACTTTTATTTACATTCTAAATTAGTTAGATAACAAACACTAATAAAATATCCATACACTAAACAGAACCAGATTATATCTCTCCAATGTCACGTTCTTGACGTCCAACAAGGCTGGTGTTATATGGGCTGTGCAGTTTGCCCACACAAAGTGGAGGAGGATTCAAACCAGTACTACTGCGGCAGCTGCAACAACACATCAACTAATGCAGCAGCAAAGTACGACCCCTAATTACATGATCATCATCACCATTTACATTAAATAACTTCACTTACCTTTTACCCACAACATCATCAACTTATGCAGGTACAGAGTCAAGATTCACGTCAAAGACAACACATGGGAAGCTGTTTTTGTACTACTTGAAGGCGAGGGCCAACGCTTCTTTGATGTGAAAGCAGATGAACTCTACAAACAAAATGGCAAGCAAAAAGGCCCACCACCATAACATTTACAGACCATCGTGGGGATGGACCTTGAATTCCACATCAAAGGCAAAAAGTACAACAGGACCAACACTTTAACTCAATATACAATCGTGAGGATAGTACATGAACCATTGAAGGTACAGAGACTGATTCCCTAAAATTATGAATGGAGGAACTTATCCAACAAAAATAATCATTTCCCTTTAATGATGAATCAGCTGCAACCAAATGAAGCAATCCTGACTGCCCCAACTTCAGTCAAAACAGTTGTTGACCTCCCAGAACCAAGTTTCCAATCTTTAGCCAATGCATCTCACACCTTTGCTGCACAAGTGGACAAAGCTGCAAGCAACAACAATGAAGAGCCTAATGACGATGACGCTCCGTTGTCCACCCTCACGAAAATGTCCAAAAGGAAAAGTGTTGCTGACATGAAATCAAGCAAGAAGGAAAATAACTCCAAGAAGAAAAAATGACAACCTGATGGAACAAATAAGTAGAAGTTAAATTCTAGTAGAGAGAATAAAACGGGATGGGATATTGCTCACAAACTCTCCGGAATTTAGTTTCCAAAGTTAGAATAAAGGGGAATAAGAACTGGATATTTCAAATTTCATGCCTCAATCATTAGTCATTACACTTGCCACTAAAACTAACAGAAACCACTCCTACAAAAAAAAAAAAAAAAAACTAATCCACCACCCCAACATGGAAACCAAACGAAAGAAAATGCACAAAGGTGGGAAATAGAACAACTACACCCGACCAACTGGCCGGGCTCAATGCTAGTATCACAATAGTTGGATATGATCATGGAACACTTAATTATGACATTGATGTGGTATTCTTATATTCGGTGGTCCAATAAACTAGTTTCAAGAACATGAGTTTGGTCTATCGGTAATGTCACTAATTTTTTTTGTGAAATAGTATTAATAATAGAAAGAAAAAGTTTACAGAAAACGGAAAAGAGAAGGAATTAAATGATGTAAAGAGGATTTGTTCAATTACAAACCACATAGATGATTTGCGCGAAAACTCGTTCCTCGTACACTATGAAGTGCAATGGATTTGGTGACACTAGAGAGGAATCTCCCTCCTTGATAGACGACGATGACAACAATCCCTAGTATTTGTTTTCTTCTTCCTACTTCTAAATTTTATTTTTGTGGATGAAACAAATGATGGAATTGGACAATTTCACCTTTTGCCAAGGAAATTTAATTCCAAGAATTAGAAAACCACATTTCATTGCCATTAAATTGACTATCCAGGAAATGAAATGATCCACATTCATATCCAATGAAAGTATATCACATGTCATCAAGGACTCCTATATTGACTAGAATGTAGTTCTAAATGTAAATAATTGGAATTCTAGGTAAATTAGAACTCAATTCCTTGGTAGATAATAGATGATTCATGATGGTTACTAATGAGCTATTATTAGGAATAATATTCCTAATCATATGAGATTATATCAATGATCAAAAGAGAGGAACTTGATTCACAACTTTACGGAGGGCTGTGTGATTATCACAATGTAAAGAAGTGTGTTCGGCCAATGCGAGAGCCAACTCATGTGATGCAGTAACTAACATAATCAACATACCTTATTATCAAAATGTGACTTATTCATTAGAAGATTATTCATTAGAAGATGGAAAATATTCAAAAAATGTTGATTTGAACTTTGAAAGTAACATCGCTTATCGAAGATAACAATGCATAAATAATGAAGATTTATTACCTTATATTTTAAATCATGATAATTTCTCACTCTCGCTATATAAATTATCGGTCCTTCTCGCCAAACAAGCTCCTCTATGTTTTGGGAGTTTTTGCCAACGTCTTTTATGCAACCAACGACAACCCCCTCTTTTCTATAGTTCTCGCCCTAAGTGAACTTCATCAAACCTCTTTGTATGAAATGGGTTTTCTCTTTTCGCCAATCTGATTCTACACATCTATCTTTTCGTCGAGTTTTCTTCTCTACTGACAGAGCAAGGTACAATATTTTCTTCACTTTCTTCCCCCTATTATTTGTGTACCCTCCTCCTCGTTTGATACGATTGAACGTGATGATTCGAGTAAGTCACATCATTCATTTGTGTGGCATTTTGGATATATCCTCATAGAGCTTGAAGGTAGTGTGTGCAATCCTAGCGTTTTCATCGCAACTTCTCAAGATTTTTTGTAACGAAGGTGGTATTCCGATCATTTTGTTGATCTCTTTTCAATTTAGTGGTTTAATATCCTTCTAGACGCGGGCTCTAGCCTTGATTCTTACCATTTTTTAGGTGTTAGTGATTTTGATGTGGAATTTGTTCCCAATATCATATTAAAATTTTCGTTTATGGAGACCTATGAGCAAAAAGTTGTGGTGTCAACGACTAGTGTTTTCGCAATGCATCTAGGGTTTTGACTGGAATCATATTGACTAGTGTTGAGTTTTAGGTCTTTATAAGTCACAACTGATTTGCATTTCCTTATCCTTACAGTAACTTTGTGTACATCTTCATCTTGCTACACCTTTCTCATGTAAATTTCCACCCCTTCCTCAATTGAAACCTTGAAGTCATCGGCTGCAAAAAAAAAAAAAAAAAAACCAATTATTTGGTAAAATATGAATACAGATATATTACCTTATTAAGAAATTAAGTATGGAAATAAGTTTACTCACTTCAAAACAAAAACGGATAATCAATTTGTTTCCATGTTTCCCCCTGTACCAACCCACTTGACAAACCAAAAGGAATAATTTATATTCTTGCCATTTTCACTATGTCCATATATGCATCCATATTCCCCTATAAATTCACAATTCATGTTCCCCAAAAATATTGATTAAGTAACCGTGTCTTCTTTGGTTTCTTTCATATTTGTACCCAAAATTTTTTTTATATTATTCCTTGCTCTACCTAACAATGGTGGCAAGAAGAAAGAAGAAGAAAAAACCACTCAAGTTGCAAAAAAAAAAAAAAAAAAAGAAGCAACCAGATTAGTAATTTACCAGAATATGTGAAGAAACATGGTAAATTGGATTTCTCTATGTGTATGATATTTTATTTCCCTTGTAGTTATTAGCATAATTATATGTTTATGATAAGGAGCATAGGCATCATAGTCAGATTCGTGGCAAAATTCATTTGCGGAACTAATTAATTATAGATATTCTGTACATAGTGACACTTTTGTGTAAGTACGTGTTTATGCCTGCCTCATGGCCAAATTAGTGAAAAATATATGAGCACAACTTTGATTATGGTCATTCTATATATTATGATGTTTTTTTTGCTTGATGATTTTTCGTCTTGTAGGGAGTGGTTTTACAAGGTCCTGCTTGTTCAAGTAAGAGGTTTGGACAATAAGGAAGCTTGTACAAGAGGAAGACGAATGTTTCTCAAGAACATGGATAGAAGATGAAACATGATGCTTCTATCAACGTCCTCTTCACTTCTAAGCGAGGTTGACAAGCCTAGGGATAACCCAGGTAACAAGACCTGTGAGGAAAATGTGCACCACTTTTGCCGCAGATAGAGACCCGCAACAAGGTTTCCGAGGTCGCAGGGTCATACGACATTGTTTTCCCCTTAATCCCTTTGACTTGCGAATTGCATCTCTTTTTTCGGTTTTCCCATTCGCGTCTAACCTTGTCTTTAAAATTCTAAAATGAACATTTGAATGTCGATGCTACATGAGTGTGTTTGAATTTTGTCTATATTGTTGGATTCAAGTACAAACTATTTTTGGTATCATGTTATATGTTATTACTCATATGTTAGATAATATTTGATTTAATTTATAAATGTATTAACAATATAATGAATTATATCATTTATAATATATTAACTATATAATGACTTTTTTCATGTATCTGGATCAACACGGACTAAAACAATTAGACCATCAACTCTCAACTCACTTTCTCGACCGAACCAACATGATAACCGGGTTGACAACCTTTCTTTTAAGAATTCAAAATAAATGTGTGTACAAACCTGCTAATTTGTATGGGACACAAATATACTTATCACAATAATAGACGGGTAAATTGAATTTCTACAAGTATATGAAAATTTGATCTCTTTCTATTGCTTGTCAAATATCAATGGGCTTATCATGTTTTTACTTTATAGTCCTTGGTGTAAGTACATGTTCATGCTAAGTGGCATAAGCACCCTATCCAAATGTGTGACAAAGTTTATTTGCACAATGGATTGATTATAGTATATATAATGATGCTTTTGTGCTTCATAATTTATTTCATAATGCAGGGAGTAATAAGGTCATCGGCTCTACTTAGATCAAATCAAAACTCCATCCGCCGTCATGTCCAACCTTCGTATTTTCTCCTAGAGAATATGGCCTTTTGCAGACTCCAACCGTCGCCATGTCCCAACCCACCACAGTTGCCGCCATTGACAGAGTTATAATTGTCACCAGCTGAACAAGAATGAGAACTAGAACCCCGCCTCCTCTTTTGCCATATTCACAGTTGGGTTCGTCATGATTTCAACAATTACTCAATCTTTGTCAATTGAAACGAAAATGAAGTGTGAAAAATTCATCACTATAATCCACCATCCAAACGAATCCGTACTAAACTTTGTATAAGAGAAAGACGAGCAATGTGTAAATTGTATGAAGAAGAATACTCGCGAAACATGATACTAGTAGCGTGTAATAACTTTCTTTGGATTTCAAGGAGTTCCAATATATGATGTACAAATATGCTAATGCAAATGGAGTACAAAGACACCAATTTGTTTTTTTTAAATGGAGTGGTACATTTGACATTATTTACTACAGTAATGCAATTCAACATTTTTGTGTATATGGTGGGGGATTACATTCAATATTTGTTGGTTTTTGGTACGAGAACGATGATATAACACTTTAAAATACTAATGGGATCGGATAGCTTGACAACCCCTGGGGGTTGTCAGTTTCGCTTCCCCCTTCCCAGCCGTCCGTCTCCCTTCCTCTCTATCCGATGGTCGATAGTGAGTAGGGGCAAAAAAGAAAGAGGCACACTGAATTCGGCCTCTTGCTTTTGAAAAGGGAAAGAATTTAGGGACTAGATATCGCGACAACCCCCTTGGGGGTTGTCAATTTCGCTTCCCCTTTAGTAGCCGTCCATCCCCCTTCCTCACCATCTAACGGTTGATGATGGCCAAGGGCAAAAAAGATGGTGCCCACACTGGATTCGTCTGCCCACTAATTGCTGACATCAGCCGGGTTTGAAAAGGGAAAGAATTTGGTGGGGGAGAGAAATCAGCCACCCTGCCCGCAGAACGATTCGTCTCCCCCAAACCCTTTTCCTCCGTCTTCTCCCAAAAACCTTCCCTTCCACCATCTCCGATCAATTTTCTCGGTGTTTCCTGCCATCGTCTCACCCGGTCTTGTGTTGAGTGAAAAGTCTTGGTGTTTGTCTGCCTAAAACCATTTTCCCCTCCATCGTCTCCCAAAAAACCCAACAACCGTCACCGCCGTCGTCCCTTCTTGCTGTCGTGCAAACCATCACGGGCGAGGTATAATCATGCAATCCTTTCTTTCTTGTGTGGCTTGTTTGATTTGGTTTTTGTATAATCGAGTGGTACTTTGAATTGGTAGCATTGCTATCACTACAGAGGCAACACTATTGGTAGCAGTTTTAGTGGTAGTTGTGGCAATTGTACTAATTTTAATTGTAGCATGGTAGTGGTAGTTTAATTGAATGGTAGCACTGGTACTAGCAGTAGTGGTTGTTTACTAGGAGGGTACCACTCACTTTTACCAGTTGTAGTGGTAGTATATTAGTGGTAGCACTGATATTTGTGTACCAGTGAATTTTGGTCTGGCAGCAGTGGGTTTAAAATAATTAATTGTTATTGGTAGTGCACTAGTGGTAGTCGAAGTTGTTGTTACTGGTAGTGGTAGTTGAAGTTGGTATTAGTCCTTAGTGGTACTTTTTGTGGCACCGTTGAATGGTTTATAGTGGTATCATAGTAAGTTTTAATTAAATTTGTATAACAATGTAGTTTTTTTTTTGTATAAGGAATGGCGAGAACTACACAGCGACAACCAAAAAAACAACTTGCAACAAAAAAACCTACTAGCTATGAATCTCGGCAGGTTATCATCTGTGAAGGAGAGTCATCATATTCTAGTCCAGGCCCTATTAAAGACAGCCACATGAGGTGATAACGGAGAGTCCCTATGAGAAGAAGAAGAAGAAGAAGAAGAAGAAGAAGAAGAAGAAGAAGAAGAAGAAGAAGAAGCAACAGCAAAAAGTAGATGCAAGTTCAAGCCAATTCGGGAGAAGTGCAGCCGGAATTCAAACATTGAAATTCTGGAATCTAGCATTTCGAAAGAGAGGAAGGCTATACTAAAGAAGCTTAAGGAGTATGATAATTGGTTATGTACGTTTTGGAGTATGAACAAAGCTTGAGGCGTATGATAACTGTCTATTGCTTTTTTAATGTAAACCAATTATATTGGACAAAGTAATGGCAGTTTGCAGTAGTACATTTGGTTGTGTTCCATTGGCATTTTCTCATTATATCCAACACTAGTTTTACCCATATGTATTATGTGACTAGCAGTCGTGCTTGTACAACTACTAAAAATGGTATATGTACCAGTAATTATTAGTCGTACATATACAAGTAACTAATGGTGGCACATGTGCAAGAAACTAGTAGTGGTACATGGACAAGTAACTAGTAGCGGTACTTATACCAGTAACTAGTAGCGGTCCTTGTATCTTTACTAGTTACTGGTATATGAACTCGTAAATAGTAGTGGTACTTTTACCAATAACTAGTAGTGGTACTTGTATCATTACTAGTTACTGGTACATGTACCAGTCACTAGCAGTGGCACATGAACCAGTAGGCAGTAATTACTAGTAATGGTACTCGTACGAGTAAGTTTGTGGAAAAAATCCAAAACTACCACCGTTTAAAAAAAAATTACAAAAATACCACCCACTCCAAATAATTTCCAAAAATACCATCCTTTATTTAAAACCGCGCCTTTATGTAGCGGTTTTTACTAAAACCGCGCTTCCAGGAAGCGTTTTAGATAATAACCGCGCCACGGTAGAGCGTTTTTAATTTCCAGAACAAAACGCTCTTGGAAGGAGCGGTTATAGGCTAACCCTACCACAAAACGCTTCAGGAAAGAGCGTTTATGTGTCGGCATTACAAACCGCCTACCCAAAGTGCGGTTTATAGTGTCAGGACACAAACCGCTCCTCCAAGCGGCGTTTTATAGTGTCAGGACACAAACCGCTGCCCCAAGGAGCGGTTTGTGCCTGGTCACCCGACAGCCAACATGTCGTACATGTCGGCATGCAGGGGGTAGGGCACGTAGGGCTTCATGGTAGACCAAAACCGCTCCCCCCCCCCCCCCCCAAGCGGTTTTGGTGCAAAATTTTGCCTATAAAAGGCGGTTTCAGAGAACTCAATTCTTCACACCTCCTCCTCTTCCTTTAAAATTTCAGCTTTAAATTATTTAGTTTTTGCGATTAACGTTTATTCGTAAGTTTGTTTCGTAATTACTTTTCATTGTCCTTTGTTAATTTATGTTAGTAACTCAATTACTTTTCATTGTCCTTTGTGATTTTATGTTAGTAACTCAATTACTTTCCATTGTCGTTTGTGATTTTATGTTAGTAACTTAATTACTTTTCATTGTCATTTGTGAATTTATGTTAGTAACTTAATTACTCTTCATTGTCCTTTGTGATTTTATGTTAGTAATTTAATTACTTTCCATTGTCATTTGTGATTTTATGTTAGTAACTTAATTACTTTTCATTGCATATTTGTCATTTGTGAATTTATGTTAGTAACTTAATTACTCTTCATTCTCATTTGTGATTTTATGTCAGACACGCGGTTTCATTTTCCCAACGGTCAAACCGCGTCTCGGGGAGGCGGTTTTTGTGGACGACACGGACTGCTGACTTGGCACACGTTTTATCCGTCTAAACGCTCCTCTGATTGGCGGTTTGATGCACCGCCACGTGGCAACACGGTTTGACAGCCATGCAAGGTCAAACCGCGCCTTTGGGGCGTGTTTTTCGCTGTAACCGCCGCCTGGATTAGCGGTTTTATATTAAACCGCTCATTTAATGAGCGGTTTTTAATAAATGATGGTATTTTTGGAAATTTTTTGGTCTGGGTGGTATTTTTGTAATTTTTTTTAAACGGTGGTAGTTTTGGATTTTTTCCTAAGTTTGTTTGCTAAAGCTACTGATATGCACGAGGCACTCACCGTGGATATACACAGGTGTTACAGCAGTAGTATAATCAATTGCTTCGTGTAGGTTTCCAAGTATGAACAATTGTTTTTGGTATCTGTCGTCTTTAATTTGATCTAAGACAAAATACTGTTGCCTACATTGGCACAATTGGGTTGGTGTTTGAGTGTGAATATTTAGTACCTTCCCCCTAGTTATTTTAACTACATAACCCTTTATTGGTACCATTTTTGTTGTACTGTTACGAAATTAATGTTACTGGTACCAAGACAATGGTATCCGTATCAAAATCATGCGGTTAGTAATCATTGCTCCGTCTGGAACCAAATTAGTTGTACTGGTACCAAGCATAAGAATGGTACCAAATTAATGTTACTAGTACTAGATCAATGGTTCTAGTATCACAATTATGCTCCTGTTACCATTACTCAGTCTAGAACAAAATCAGTGGCATTGGTACTATTAATACAACTGGTACCAAATTAATACCATTGTTTACTATTATTAAGTCTGGTAGTAACTCTCGACGAGAAGCCTCTTCCATGAGCATAACTCTTGTAAAAACATGTAAATTCATCCTGGTTCTGGAAACGCAGGTGATTCCACGTTGAACTGTCTGATGGGATGAAGGTTGATACCAAACCTGTAAATAAAGAACAGATGCATTAGCAAATCGAACTTTTTATCAAATTACTACGGACGATGGTTGATACCACTAAATCACTACGACTAAATGACTAACACTAAGGGAGTACCACTAGACGACTACGTGTCTACCAGTACGTGACTACCAATAGATGATTTCCACTAGGTACCTACCTCTACAGTAATACTACCACTAACTAAATTGAACCATAACTACTAGTATATTTTTGCAGAAACATTATCTGTACCACTAATAAAACGGTACAAATGCAACGGAAGTCGTAACGACACAGGTTAACCCTACCGCCACTGTTGCCGTCGACGCCATTCTCCGCCATGCTGTCGTCTGAATCAGCGTGATCGCCTGATTGCGGTACGAAATGGTCGTTGTTTTCCATGTTGACGCCATATTGGACGCTGTCCGTGATTTTGTCCCGTTCCGGATGGTCTTCGTTGACCAGCTCCTCCACGTCCAAAACGTCGCCAACATCGCCATTCTCCGTTGGGTCCGACTGCTAAGCTCGGATCTCATATGTATTCTCGCCGTTGCTTGTCAATGGGACGTTTAGGTCAAAGCCGAATAAACAACTAGGTTCAGCTCCACCCCATTCTCTGTCGTCGTCGTTGCTGATGTAGTCGTCCATTGTATGGCGGCGGCCGCGTCGCTGGTATTTTCCGGAGCTACTAATTTCTGGTTTGATGAGGGATCTGGTTTGACGAGGGAGAAGCCAAAAATGGAAGGGAAAGAGTCCCAGCCGAAACAAGCTCTTCACCTCCCTCCAATCACGCTCCAAGATTTTCTCCATGCATTTAAGTGATAATTCAAAATGACTAGAATTAAGAACTTACTAAAAAGCCCTTCTTGTGCTCCTGACCGTCGAATGAAAAAGGAGGATGGACGGAAAAATGGGGGAAGCAAAATTGACAACACCCTAAAGGGTTGTCACGCTATCCGGTCCCGCTGCATAATTGCAGTCCGTGCATTTATGCTTATTTTCAAAAAATTTACATTACAAAAGGCTTCCGGAAACGCCCTTGCCGTGATCACCACCGTTAGATAAGGAGGGGGGGGGGGGGGGGGTGGACGGCCATAAGGAAGGAAGCGAAACTGACAACCCACTTAGGGGTTGTCACGCTATCCGATCCCGTTAAAAACAAATTTATTTCTTCTCAATGAGCCGGGGATTGATTTTTTTTATTATAAGGGTGATAGAATTTTATTGTAATATAAATTTTTAATTTCCAGAGTTTAATTAATCTGAATAATATTTTCAATATCATTTTTGTCTTTGGTTTGCATGCGGTATGCACCATATCTCGTTCCATGTGTACAACTATTATGCAAAGTTATATTTCATAGACTCAAATCTAGGTAGTATAGTAGGTATATCACAATAGTTGGATATGATCATGGAACACTTAATTATGACATTGATGTGGTATTCTTATATCCGGTGGTCCAATAAACCAGTTTCAAGAACATGAGTTTGGTCTATCGATAATGTCACTAAGGTTTTTTTTTTGTGAAATAGTATTAATAATAGAAAGAAAAAATTTACAGAGAAAACAGAAAAGAGAAGGAATTAAATGATGTAAAGAGGAGTTGTCAAGTTACAAACCACATAGATGATTTGCGTGATAACTCGTTCCTCGTACACTATGAAGTGCGATGGATTTGATGACACTAGAGAGGAATCTCCCTCCTTGATAGACGATGATGGCAACAATCCCTAGTATTTATTTTCTTCTTCCTACTTCTAAATTTCATTTTTGTGGATGAAACGAATTATGGAATTGGACAATTTCACCTTTTTCCATGGAAATCTAATTCCAAGAATTAGAAAACCACATTCCATTGCCATTAAAGTGACTATCTAGGCAATGAAATGATCCACATTCATATCCAATGAAAGTATATCACATGTCATCAACGACTCCTATATTGACTATAATGTAGTTCTAAATGTAAATAATTTGAATTCTAGGTAAATTAGAACTCAATTCTTTGGTAGATAATAGATTATTCATGATGGTTACTAATGAGTTATTATTAGGAATAGTATTCCTAATCATATGAGATTATATCAATGATCAAAAGAGAGTAACATGATTTACAACTTTGCAGAGGGTTGTGTGATTATCACAATGTAAAGAAGTGTGTTCGGCCAATGCCAGAGCCAACTCATGTGATGCAGTAACTAACGTAACCAACATACCTTATTATCAAAATGTGACTTATTCATTAGAAGATGAAAAATATTCCAAAATGTTGATTTGAACTTTGAAAGTAACATCGCTTATCGAAGATAACAATGCATAAATAATGAAGATTTATTACCTTATCTTTTAAATCATGATAATTCTCACTCTCGCTATATAAAGTATCGGTCCTTCTTGCCAAACAAGCTCCTCTATGTTTTGGGAGTTTTTGCCAACGTCTTTTATGCAACCAACGACAACCCCCTCTTTTCTATAGTTCTCGCCCTAAGTGAACTTCATCAAACCTCTTTGTATGAAATGGTTTTTCTCTTTTCGCCAATCTGATTCTACACATCTATCTTTTCGTCGAGTTTTCTTCTCTACTGACTGACCAAGGTACAATATTTTCTTCACTTTCTTCCCCTTATTATTTGTGTACCCTCCTCCTCGTTTGATACGATTGAACGTGATGATTCGAATAAGTCACATCATTTATTTGTGTGGCATCTTGGATATAGCCTCATAGAGCTTGAAGGTAGTGTGTGCAATCCTAGAGTTTTCATTGCAACTTCTCAAAATTTTTTGTAACGAAGGTGGTTTTCCGATCATTTTGTTAATCTCTTTCAATTTAGTGGTTTAATATCCTTCTAGACGCGGTCTCTAGCCTTGAGTCTTACCATTTTTAGGTGTTGCTAATTTTGATTTGGAATTTGTTCCCAATTTCATATTAAATTTTTTGTTTATGGAGACCTATGAGCTAAAAGTTGTGGTGTCAACGACTAGTGTTTTCGCAATGCATCTAGGGTTTTGACTGGAATCATATTGACTAGTGTTGAGTTTTAGGTCTTTATAAGTCATAACTGATTTGCATTACCTTATCCTTGCAGTAACTTTGTGTATGTCTTCATCTTCCTACACCATTCTCGTGTAAAGTTCACCCCTTCCTCAATTGAAACCTTGAAGTCATCAGCTGCACACACAAAAAAAACCCAATTATTTGGTAAAATATGAATACAAATATATTACCTTATTAAGGAATTAATTATGGAAATAAGTTTACTCACTTCAAAACAAAAACGGATAATCAATTTGTTTCCACGTTTCCCCCCTATACCAACCCACTTGACAAACCAAAAGGAATAATTTATATTCTTGCCATTTTCTCTATGTCCATATATGCATTCATATTCCCCTATAAATTCACAATTCATGTTCCCCAAAAATATAGATTAATTAACTGTGTCTTCTTTGGCTTCTTTCATATTTGTACCCCAAAATATTTTATATTATTCCTTGCTCTACCGAACAATGGTGGCAAGAAGAAAGAAGAAGAAAAAACCACTCAAGTTGCAACAACAAAAAAAAAGCAACCAGATTAGTAATTTACCAGAATATGTGAAGGAACATGGTAAATTGGATTTCTCTATGTGTATGATATTTTATTTCCCCTTGTAGTTCTTAGCATAATTATATGTTTATGATAAGGAGCATAGGCATCATAGTCAGATTCGTGGCAAAATTCATTTGTGGAACTAATTAATTATAGACATTCTGTACATAGTGACACTTTTGTGTAAGTACGTGTTTATGCCTGCCTCATGGCCAAATCAGTGGAAAATATATGAGCACAACTTTGATTATGGACATTCTATATATAATGATGCTTTTTTTGGGCTTGATGATTTTTCATCTTGTAGGGAGTGATTTTACAAGGTCATGCTTGTTCAAGTAAGAAGTTTGGACAATAAGGAAGCTTGTACAAGAGGAAGACGAACGTTTCTCAGGAACATGGATAGAAGATGAAACATGATGCTTTTATCAACTTCCTCTTCACTTCTAAGCGAGGTTGTCAAGCCAAGGGTCAACCCGGGTGACAAGACCTGTGAGGAAAATGTGCACCACTTTTGCCGCAGATAGAGACCCGCGGCAAGGTTTCTGAGGTCGCATGATCATACGACATTGTTTTTCACTTTGACTTGCGAATTGCATCTCTTTTTTCGGTTTTCCCATTCGCGCCTAACATTGTCTTTGAAATTCTAAAATGAACACTTGAATATCGATGCTATATGAGAGTGTTTGAATTTTCTCTATAGCGTTGGATTCAATTACGAACTATTAGTTTGGTATCATGTTATATGTTATTACTCATATGTTAGATAATATTTTATATAATTTATAAATGTATTAACAATATAATGAATTATATTATATATAATATATTAACAATATAATAAATTTTTTCATATATCTGGATCAACACGGACTAAAACAATCAGACCATCAACTCTCAACTCACTTGCTCGACTGAACCAACATGCTAACCGGGTTGACAACCTTGCTTTTAAGAATTCAAAATGTATGTGCGTACAAACCTGCTAATTTGTATGGGACACAAATATACTTATCACAATAATAAACGGGTAAATTGAATTTCTACAAGTCTATGAAAATTTGATCTCTTTTTATTGCTTGTCAAATATCAATGGGCTTATCATGTTTATACTTTATATTCCTTGGTGTAAGTACATGTTCATGTTAAGTGGCATAAGCTCCCTATCCAAATGTGTGACAAAGTTTATTTGCACAATGGATTGATTATAGTATATATAATGATGCTTTTGTGCTTCATAATTTTTTTTCATAATGTAGGGAGTAATTTGGTCATCGGTTCTACTTAGATCAAATCAAAACTCCATCCGCCGCCATGTCCAATCTTCGTATTTTCTCCTAGAGAACATGACCCTTTCGCAGACTCCAACCGCCGCCATGTCCCGACCCGCCGTAGTTGCCGCCATTGACAGCTATAATTGTCACCAGCTGGACAAGAAGGAGAACGAGAAACCCCGCCTTCTCTTTTGCCATATTCACAGTTGGGTTCATGATGATTTCAACTATTATTCAGTCTTTGTCAATTGAAACCAAAAGGAATTGTGATAAAATTCCTCACTATTATCCAGCATCCCAACGAATTTGTACTAAACTTTGTATAAGAGAAAGATGAGCAGTGTTTAAAATGTATGAAGAAGAATACTCCCGATACATGATACTGGTAGTGTGTAATAACTTTCTTTTGATTTCAAGGAGTTCCAATATATGTACAAATATGCTAATGCAAATGGAGTTCAAAGACACCAATTGTTTTTTCTAAATGGAGTGGTACATTCAACATTTTGTGTATATGGTGGGGGATTACATTCAATATTTGTTGGTTTTTTTGGTACGAGAACGATGATACAACACTTTAAAATACTAATATTTTAGAGCACAAAGAGTAACCATGCAATGATTGCACTAACTATTTTACAATATTGTTCTTCGTAACTATCATACCGTTTGGTATAAATGAATTCCATAAGTTTTGAAGGATTCATTTTGAAATGAAATATTTTTGTGTTTGGTATTAAAAAGAATTCATTTTCAATTCTAAATTTTGAATTCTACGGAATTGGAACTAGTTATAGCAATTCCGAGGAATTGAGATAGAATTTCCAAATGAATTCCACAAGTATTTACTAATTATAATAGAATGACATGATTATCCTCTTTTATTAACTAAATTACTTATACATATGACATACCAAACACAGAAATTCATTTGACAATGAATTCTACACGACACTTCAATGATTTGAATATAACATACCAAACATAGGATTTCATTTGATAATGAATTCTACACGATAATTCATTTTACAATGAAATTAATTCTCGATTCATTTGGTACCAAACGGTCTGTATGTGTTAAGAACAAATTTATTTCTTCCCAATAAGCCGGAAACTATTTTTTTTTTTTTGTAATGGTGGTATAAGTTTATTTTTAATAATATCTAACTAGAGAGGAAAGAGAAGGAATTAAATGAATGAAATCTATCGTAGAAAGAAAGAGAATCAGAAGCAAGACAGAGAAAGTAATTAATGCATGATCTTAATTAAAAAATATAGTAATATGGATTTTTAATTCTAAAAATATATTTAATATAAATTTTTAATTTTCAGAATTTAATTAATATGAATAATATTTTCAATGTCATTTTTGTCTTTGGTTTGCATAGTTATTTTTCATAGAGTCAAATCTAGGAAGTTTAGCATGTATCACAATAGTTGGATATGATCATGTAACACTTAATTATGACATTGACGTGGTGTTCTTAGTTCTTATATCTTGTGGTCCAATAAACTAGTTCCATGAACATGAGTTTGGTATAGTGTGTAATGTCAATTTGAACCCGCCCCGCGGGTATTACCCGACCCGCAGTAGCAAAGGGTGGGGCATGAGTATGTACTTCCGACCCACCCTGACCCATCTCGCTCCGTATTATACCAATTTTATCTAAATTTTTTATACTATCTATACATATTTCTCCTATTTTGACTTTTTTTCAACAGTTAGAGTCGATCTTTCAACTTGTTAGACTCGAATATCCATTCCATTATCACTATTTTTCATTCATAAAGTGTTTTCCCTTTCGTGTATTATTTTCATACAAAATGTAAGAATGGCTCCACCCGCCTCCGCCCCGACCCACAGTAGCGTGGGGCGGGACATAGGTATTGAGGTACTCGCCCCGCCCAATTGCCATCACTAGGTATAGTGGTAATACTACTAATTTTCTTGTTGAAATAGTATTAATAATAGAAAGCAAAAGTTTACAGAAAAAGGAAAAGAGAGGGAATTAAATCATGTAGGAGGAGTTGTCAAGTTAAAACCATATAGATGGTTTTGCGCGATAATTCGTTCCTCGTACACCATGAAGTGCAATGGATTTGATGACACTAGAGAGGAATCTCCCTCCTTGATAGACGATGATGGCAACAATCCCTAGTATGTATTTTCTTCTTCCTACTTCTAAATTTCATTTTTGTGGATGAAACGAACGATGGAATTGGATAATCTCACCTTTTTCCATGGAAATATAATTCCAAGAATTAGAAAACCACATTCCATTGCCATTAAATTGACTATCCAAGCAATGAAATGCTCCACATTCACATCCAATGAAAGTATATCACATGTCATCAACGACTTATGCCATTCAAACGACTCCTATATTGACTAGAATGTAGTTCTAAATGTAAATAATTGGAATTTTAGGTAAATTAGAACTCAATTCCTTGGTAGATAATATATGATTCATGATTGATACTAATGAGCTATTATTAGGAATAGTATTCCTAATCATATGAGATTATCAATGATCAAAAGAGAGGAACTTGATTCACAACTTTGCGGAGGGTTGTGTGATTATCACAATGTAAAGAAGTGTGTTCGGCCAATGCGAGAGCCAACTCATGTGATGTAGTAACTAACGTAACCAACATACCTTATTATCAAAATATGACTTATTCATTAGAATATGAAAAATATTCAAAAAATGTTGTTTGAACTTTTAAAGTAATATCGCTTATCGAAGATAAAAAAGGCATAAATAATGAAGATTTATTACCTTATCTTTAAATCACAATAATTTCTCACTCTCGCTATATAAATTATCAGTCATTCTCGCCAAACAAGCTCCTCTATGTTTTGGGAGTTTTTGCCAACGTCTTTTACGCAACCAACGACAACCCCCTCTTTTCGATAGTTCTCGCTCTAAGTTTGATACAATTGAACGTGATGATTCGAATAAGTCACATCATTTATTTGTGTGGCATCTTGGATATATAGCCACATAGAGCTTGAAGGTACGTAGTGTGTGCAATCCTAGCGTTTTCATCGCAACGTTCTCAAGTTTTTTTTAACGAAGGTGGTTTTCCGATCATTTTGTTAATCTCTTTTCAATTTAGTGGTTTAATATTCTGCTTGACGCAGTCTCTGGCCTTCAGTATTACCATTTTTTAGTTGCTGTTGATTTTGATTTGGAATTTGTTCACAATTTCATATTAGAATTTTCGTTTATGGAGACCTATGAGCTAAAAGTTGTGGTGTAACCACTAGTGTTTTCGCAATGCATCTAGGATTTTGACTGGAATCATATTGGCTAGTGTTGAGCTTTAGGTATTTATAAGTCATAATTGATTTGCATTTCCTTTTTCCTTGCAGTAATTGTGTAAATCTTCATCTTGCTACACTTTTCTCCCGTAAAGTTCACCCCTTCCTCAATTGAAACCTGAAGTCTCAACTGCCAAAAAAAATCCAATTATTTTGTAAAATATGAATACAGATATATTACCTTATGGAAATAAGTTTCACTAAAAAAATAAGTATGGAAATACGTTTACTCACTTCAAAACAAAAATGGATAATCAATTTGTTTCCATGTTTCCCCCTATACCAACCCACTTGACAAACCAAAAGGAATAATTTATATTTTTTCCATTTTCACTATGTCCATATATGCATCCATATTCCCCTTTAAATTCACAATTTATGTTCTCAAAAATATTGATTAATTAACCTTGTCTTTCTTTGGTTTCTTTCATATTTGTACCCATAATATTTTTATATTATTCCTTGCTCTACCTCAATGGTGGCGAGAAGAAAGAAGAAGAAAAAACCACTCAAGTTGCAACAAAAAAAGAAGCAACCAGATTAGTAATTTACCAGAATAAGTGAAGGACCATGATAAATTGGATTTCTATATGTGTATGATATTTTATTTCCCCCTGTAGTTTTAGCATAATTATATATTTATGTAAGGAGCATAGGGATCATAGTCAGATTCGTGGCAAAATTCAATTGTGGAACTAATTAATTATAGACATTCTGTATATAGTGACACTTTTGTGTAAGTACTTTATTTTTATTTTTTATAAAGCTGTAAGTACATGTTTATGCCTGCCTCATGGCCAAATTAGTGAAAAATTTAATGAGCACAACTTTGATTATAGACATTCTGTATATAATGATGTGTTTTTGTTGTTGTTGTGCTTGATGATTTTTCGTTTATGTAGGGAGTGGTTTTACAAGGTCCTGTTTGTTCAAGTAAAGAAGTTTGGACAATAAGGAAGCTTGTACAAGAGGAAGACAGAACGTTTCACAAGAACATTGATAGAAGATGAAACATGATGCTCCTATCTACTTCCTCTTCACTTCTAAGCAAGGTTGTCAAGCCATGGGTTAACCCAAGTACAAGACCTGTGATGAAAATGTGCACCATTTTTGCCGCGGATAGAGTCCCGCAACAAGGTTTCCGAGGTCGCAGGGTCATACGACATTGTTTTTCCCTTTGACTTGCGAATTGCATCTCTTTCTTCGGTTTTCCCATTCGCACGTAACTTTGTCTTTGAAATTCTAAGATGAACATTTGAAATACGATGCTATATGAGTGTGTTTGAATTTTCTCTAAATTGTTGGTCACTGAATTTACTAAAATGTGTCATGTTTTGCCACTGTGAAAAGTTAATATCAATTTATGTCCTATCAAAAAGTTAATAGTAAAAGAATACAAGAATTTATTATTTATTAATAAAATCATTTAAATCCCCTCACTCTCTTCTCCTCTCCTGTAAAACTTCCTCGTAGCTTTCG